GTCCATTTTGCTCCATCAAATATCACAGCTGAAGTCGAATCGATTGAGATGAACTACGAAGCTGTCAAGGGTATAAATTTGATTTCGTTACTTTACCCTACGATGTTCTGCGTTTTTCAGAAGCGATACCTGGCGATTATGTAACAGTCTATGTGAAAAGTATTCATGCGAGAGAACTACGACCAGGATTAATTGGCTCGGATCCAACAAATGATCCGGCTCAGGAAGTCCTGAGTTTTATTGCTCGAGTAAGAATCTTGAACCTTTTAATTCGATTCGAGCAAGAAAAATAGCAACTCTTTTTCCTCAGATCGTCCTGACCAATTGTTTACGTCAGATCCATGCAGGATACATAGCAGTGATTCAATGTCATGGGTCTAGTGTTGCTTGCAACTTCATCGAACTACTCAAGAAGATCGATCGTCTATCAGGTCAAACCATTGAAGAAGCTCCACAGTGTCTTAAATCTGGCGAAACTGCTTTAGTCAAGTTGGTCCCACAGAAACCTTTGTGTATTGAGCGATTTGTTGAGTATCGAACATTAGGTCAGTTTCTTGTTCGAGACATGAAACAGACAGTAGCTTTCGGTGTTGTTATGGATGTCGAGAAGGTAATCTCAGTAAAACGATCAGTTACTACTTCACATGAAGATTAAGCATAGTTGGAGCAACACATTTTCGAACATTATTTCAGCATGTTGGTGTCGATTTCATGGACTATCTTACGGTTTTTTTATTTCTCTTTTTTCATTTCCGCAAAAGAAAAATAACTGCAGCATTCATATTCTCTCTTTCAACTGTCGACATATCGCTGCGATCAATATCATGTCATGAAACCGGACGAAAACGATAACTAAAGGTTAAAGAGGCAATGAGAAACGCATCCCATCATTTTAGTATCTTTTATTTTCTGTAGAATAAGAGCTAGAATATTGAGTCGTTTTACTTGCGAAGTCGGTCATCATTGGGCAACAACATAGCTTCAGCCGTCTAGTGTTTTGATTCCTAAAATCATTTCTATGCAGTTGTTCCTAAAACGAATGACACTTATTTCTGTAATACTCAATTTTACGATTGTTGTCATTTACAAAAATTGTTGATAGTCGCCAGCAGTTAGTACGGCTTATGAAAAAAAATGATTTAATTCCATAGTCTGCTAATAAACCAGAAACAGTTGTGAATTTCATGTCTCTACTAGATTCACCTTTAGGATATATTTTTTATTAATCATATGAAAAGACGAGCATTTTTTTTCATGGTACTTATCATGACGATCATCAATAGCAGTTATTAGGTTGAGTATAGATGTGTCAAGTTGATCCGAAGATCCATTATATGCATGGCGTTGTAAAGATCTTTGATATCGTTACCAAATGAGTTCGGTTCACCAGAAACGCTGTTAGTATGACACTTCACTTCACCCCACTCTTGATTAGCCCTTTCAAGTTCTTCTTCGAAATGTGATAATTCGACATTTGTTCAAGATTTGATTATGTCTTAATAAAAGTTTTGATTTTTATGTTCTACATGTTAATACGTACCAATATTGAATCAACATGTAAGTATTAAATTAGTTATCCATTAGCGAAATTACTATAATGTAAACGGTTCAACAATTCGATCAATGATCGAGATGATATGGAACAAAAGTTTTGAAGAATTAAAATTTTTGATAAAATATTGAAATGTCTTTCTTGAATTATTATCATTTCGTATTGTCATAAAACATCAAACATATTATTGTATTAACATATATATTGCTCCCTTACTATATCATCGAATTTACAGTGAACTTGAACAATAATTTTTCTCAAAACTCTTTCTGTTCAAAGATTGATCATCCTTTCGTGTTCTTTGCTCGATGAATTCACTCTACCTTTATCTCCATAGGTTATTTATCATGAAAAACCGACTTTGCATCTGAGATGATCCGATTGAAATGTGAATTTTTGATTGGATTATCGTGAAAAAGTTCCATATCACAGCAACATTTAACAAAGCTTCATAAAATCATTTGAATGTTGTATGTGGTCCAGAAATGAGTCGTTATGATACCAGGTAAATTGTTATCTCGAAATTTGTCGAAGTAAAGGTCCAACATTGATAAGAAATCATTGTGCTTGCTGAGGACAACAAGAAAATTTGAAAAATAAATGTTTTGAATATGATAAAAACCTCGTGATCATGGATGTTGTTAAGTGCTTCAACAAATGCAATGAGCCTAATCTGGTATATCACATGTGTGATACCTCATAAGAGTGAGAACAACAGAATACGTAAAATGATATGTCATTCTTTTTTGTGTGCCGGCAGCAACAACAGTGCACATTTGCCGACAAGTGAGCAATATCACATAACAAGGTAAGTAGCAAGCAGTAGTCATAGTTTGCCGTTATGTGAGATAAAATTGGCACCGAATAATCCATTAGAAATACATTAATGCAGACATCTAGTAACCATATAGCTGGTAAAAACGTGTGAAATATTGAAAGGACAGGATTCCGACAAATATTGAAAGAAATTTGATTTTGTTGTCAACTATATAACAGCAGTACGGTAGACTCGATTTCTGTCAGAAAATCAGAATCTATGAAAATCATCTAGTGTGCAGTAGGATTTTACTGTTGCCATCGAAAAAATCTTTATTTTCATTGCTCGATATCAGCCTAGTCAAGCCGATAAATGATTTAACTTTGGTTTCTGAGTTTTGTAGCTTTCTCAAAGAAAGATATTTTTCTCACATACACGATGATCAGGACTACTCCAACCGGTGATACTGTCGTTGTGTCTTCTGTCTTCATAACGATTTTACTTAATATTTTGTAGACTTTTGAACAAACTTCTATCTAGTACCAGATTCAATTTCAACTATATCCATGACTGCCAATGACCACGGACATGTCAGTAAGTCAATAGCCAACTGCAGAAAATTCTCTCCATTAATCCTTTTTATGCTAGATAATCTCGACAAGACGCAGATGGAAACACTAAAACGTTATTGGATAACTCTAATCAATGCTATCAGTACTCAAAGCTCATTACCTATCGATCAGATTATCAATTCGGTTTATAGGAATGAGTTTTTTCATGCAGTTGGCTACGAGAATCCTGATGTATTTGCATTGCGATGGCTTCGCGTATGTAAGTGGGAAATCAATGATGCAGTTCAAAAAATGATAAAAATGCTGAAGTGGCGACACGAGTGGGGCGTTCAGGCACTTGTAGCTCAGGGTGAGAGTGGTCTCTCCTATGAAGAAATTAAGACAGGCAAGTGTTTTTTAATGGGCCATGATAAAGCTGGTCGTCCAATCAATTATATATCTGCCAAGGATCACATAAATGGTCAATTCCCCCATGAGATCACACAGAAACTCACCGTTTTAACAATGGAAACCGTTCGAAAACTTATTGAAGCTCCTGTTGAGACGAACACGATTGTTTTCGATCTAAGTGGATTTCGTTTGAAAAATATGGACTATCAACATATCAAATTTTTCATCAATCTCATTGAAAATTATTATCCGGAATTACTTGGTCAGGTCATCATATTGAACGCTCCATGGATATTTTACGGTTGCTGGACAATCATTAGCAAATGGTTGAATCCGACCTTACGAGATGAAATTCGATTTGTTAAGAATGAAGTGGAATTAGCTCAGCACATAGATCCATCTGCTCTTCCAAGAAGATTGAACGGTACTCAACCTGATTTTGAATACATTGGACCGACAGCTAATGATGACGCCATGATTGCCACCATTCGTGTCGATGCTCAAGGTAAAGCAAAAGCTCAAGAAGCTCATCAAGAAGCTGTTCGACACTATCTAAATATCACCTTGCAATGGACGCGCGGTGACAACAATCCAAATTTACTAGCGGAGAGAGCCATGGCTACGAAGCAGTTACGAAATGCTTTTGAAAAGTTGGTTCCATACATAAGTACCCGAACCCATTATCATCGAATTGGAGCTATCAAAGAGCAAATCTTTCAAGGAACATACAATCAGATTCGTGCATCGATGGCGAACCAAGTCTAGCCGTTCATTTTAGGACATATGTTTGACTTTGTACATTTGCTTTTACTGCAGTCGTAGCAATAAAAACCATCTACTTTGCCTATGGTGAATGCGAGTACCTAATATATATCTCACTTCACGACATATTTGCAGACAATCAATCATTGACTTTCGTTCTAGAGATGAGCACAAAATATTTAATGAGATTAAAGAAATTCAGGATCAGAAAGGTAGAGAGAAATAATGTACTCCAAATGAAAAAGTTCGCCTAAGTAGAATAGTTGTTCAAAGTATTTAGTACCAGTTTTAAGTATGTTAAACTACTTTGAATTACATGGCAACAGTGAAGTGTGAGTATGGGTTGGAGCTGGATGAAGTTAAAATGTTTGCCTTCGTAGGTTTTCATTCCTGCAGTCTCGTTCCTGAATCTAAGAAAAACTCCGAAAACCTTTTTGACTACCACATATACTTCGTTTTGTGCTACTTGTTAATAAGAATGTTTCTTTGATTCTGTTTCTCGAAATTATTCATGAGTCTATAAAGTCATGTAGTTTTTTTTCATTAATTAACATATAAAAAATAAACACATCACTATTTGAGAGTAAAAAATACTTGACTGTTTTACTGATGTAACTAAGAAATTGAGTGCGAAAAAATTCTTTGCAGGGCCTTAGTGAGGAGTTTTTTCTTACTAAACAGCCATACACTCATTGCTTTTGCAGATCATCAACACGTTGATTTTTTTTTGAAAAGTATTGCACTCAATAATTCCATGTATTAGTGACATACATTTTACCATATCGATAGAATGAAAACCTCACAAATCTATACAATTCATTATAGATGAACTCTGATACTGGTCCAATTTTATTGAAATCCGTTCGACATTTCCTGTTTTTTTTCTCTTTATTCAACTAGATGCATGCAAATTACTAAACACACACACTATTGAGAAGAATTTTGTCTTTATTAAGAATCTTCATATCTATGGCTTGCTCGTCTCAGCCATAGTGTAGACGAGTTTTTCAGCAGCTACTTTGTTCTCCATCATTCTTTGAAATCCTTCTGCGACTCCATTGAGTCCGCCCGAGATTTTGGTCACTTTATTCGGCTTAACAAGACCCTGAGGTAATAAGATATTGGAAAGTTGCAAGTAGAATTTCTCGGCAAATGATTTATCTGCAGGTTTGGCTTCATAATCTTGACCGAAGACGTGCATTCGACGCCCGAAAATCGTATACATCATGACACTGCGTTCTTTAATATGAGGTGGAACTTCTTTTGATACTCCTGGTAGAACGGTGACTACTTGCGGATTCAGACCAGTGAGTGTTGCGCACACCTGTGCAGTTGATCCATTCTCCGAAACACAATCAATAGCATAAGCCAAATTATTTGGAGCTACTTCTTTGATTTGTGAGACCACATTCGAATTCTTGTAATCGAAACAGATATCAGCGCCAAGTTCCTTCAAATAAGCATGACGAGCAGGCGATGCAGTTGTGATAACAAAGCAGCCAGCTGCTTTGGCTAATTGAATAGCATATTGGCCAACACTGGTGCTACCTCCCCAAACGAGAATGGCTTTGCTACAAGTAGCAGGAGGAAAAGGTAAACCCATCTCATGAAAGAGACCAAGAGCTGCCGTGATACTGGCCAGTGGAACTGTAGCAGCTGATTCTGGAGACAGGGTAAAAGGATAACGAAAAACCAGTGATGCATCTTGAACAACATATTCTGAAAAAGCTCCACGAATGCCCAATGCGGCATCTAGACCACCATGAACACAGCCGGCTACATGTTCACCTTTTTTATAGCTTCCTGAGAAAAGAAGAAAGAATGAACGTATGAGAATAATACATCGAAATAATTCATCTGAATCACTATTGATCGAGTTGATAGTAGACTTTAACGAGTGACAAATATCCAGTTGGATTCTTCAGCACTGCCAATTATTTTCCTTAGGATAGCCGAATTTCTATATCCTTTTACATCTTATGACAAGTATACAAATATGGACCAATGCGCTAATGTCTGAGTTCGATTCACTCCCCAGGTTAGCCAATCAGATAGTAAGATCAGTAATAAATTCTTACACGCTTGTATTAAGTTCATACTCGACGACTCTGCACGATCATGCAAGCTAGCACGGAAAATCATCTGAATAGGCATCATCTTTGATGTTCGGTATCCAGATTTATATAACGATGTGTACAAGAGTTGATTATATGGTTTTATATAATCATAGAAGACTGGACTGTTTAATTTCATTATATTTGTTCACTCTTCGACACTGATTTTCATGACTTAACACGTTTTCGATATAAATGATTGAGGCGTCTACTTCAGTTTGCTTTCGCACGACATGATAGTTTCTAACATCATGAATATACATATGTAGCCAGAACTTAAATCTGTCGTTGCACCACTCGATATACGTGAACTTTTATACCTTTACATCAATACATATACCGTTATGCTGATTCCTAACACATCTATCTCTATAACTAAGCTATTAGGTTTACACACACATATAACTATACTCTTAAACTTATACCACTACACTTATAAGCTTTTGCCTATATTCGAATTACTATAGTTTTAGGCCAATACCACTTTGCCTATATGTTTATCTTTATATTCTTACTTATTTACCCTTGTACCTATAGCTTTATATTTATACTCTTATATGAATATCGTCAGAGCAACCTTTTAGAACTTTCATCTATGTCGTTATATGTATAAACTTGTATTATTCCTTCACTAACTGGTGTTTATATTTAATGATCTATATTGCGTTTGAGTTCAGGACTAGATTACCATAACATCTTTTTGAAGTATGATTTTGTTTCGAAGTTTCTTCAGTGCTATGTATCCGTATTTTGTTTTCTATATCTGATTTTAATCAATGTATACATAATCGATACAACTTTCTTCTCTTTATATATTTATGTATTTCTATGTGGCAAGAAAAATATAAGTCCAATATTCAGATAGAACCAATTGGTCGTAGACTCAGTGGCTTTTGATTCTGTAGTTAATTCAGCAAAATCAATAGAAGTACATTTTCGGACGAATTTTTGCATCTGATCTGGTATGATTGCGTCAGATTTGTGTTACCAGACTATGTGACCTTCCTTACTGATAGAAATTATCTGGTCGTATACAAATGAACTATTGCCGTAATATCGATTTTAGCTTATTTCGTAGAATATGTTTCTTGTAAGATTTTTGCTTGAGTCATACAGTAGGTATGATTCGAAATCTTGTGAGAAAGCTAAGACTACGATATTGATTGATCTTTTTGTAAGGTCTCATAGATAATCTTGTATGCGTATGAACATGAATGTGTGTCTCAAGTCTTACGTCTATTTTTTTTACCCGGGTTTAGTCAAGTATAAGTCTCTGTAAATCATCGTAATAATTTGAACCAAATCGGTGCATACACAAAACCCTATCGAATATGACTAAAAGGAGGACAATTGAATACGAACCTGTTGCTTCTTTGCCAACTTCAACGACTTCGCCAGCAAAATCACAACCGACAATCGAACCAGGTTTTGCAAAGCCAAAATGAACATGTTTCCAATCAGTCGGATTTTGTGCAACATGAGTCACTTTGATCAGAAGATCTTGTGGTCCATATTTGGGTAGCTAGATAGAAGAAAAAAAATATCATACTGTATTTTTAGCAGATAGACTATGACTCACTTCGAGCTCTTCAATAGCAAGCTGCTTATTTTCACGTACGACCAAGGCGAGTGGCATTGTGCTTGTGTTTCTAAGTAAGAACAGAAAAAAAGAATGAGGAACAACCGCAGTATTGTCTCGACTTTTATATCAATGCGAACCGTTTCTCTTCTTTCTTTTTTTCTGCTCTGTCATTCTGATTCTGGCACACTGATTCATGTCTCTCGTTTTCCTTTTTCTGCTCTATCACGATGACGTAGTCATGTACGCACATCAATACAAATCAACGGTATTTACATTTTCTGCTAAATGACTCAGTATTGTAACTGGAGGCCGACACACTAGTTGAGAACTTGTCAATTTTATTCTGCTGTATGTTTATTTCTAGTTCTTTTATGAACTTTGTTTATTGCAAGTTAGAAATAAACACATACCCAACACACTAGCAGTAATACATCATCCAATAAGAATGGAATATAAAAATGTATACATGTAGAGGTTAAGAAGAGAAAAAGAAAAAGAAAAAAGAAAGAGCGCGGTATCGGAGCAGATAATGTATATGATCTTGTGTGTTATCACTGATCATAATACTGTTGTACGGATTTTAGGTCGAGTTTTCTAATCTCTTGGAAATGGTTGGAATTTTTTTTGATGAATTCGCTCGGATTAAAGTTAGATTCGGAAGTGTTTACAAGAGAAAAATTATAAGCGTTTACGACTCTTGATTCAATTAGCAAAGTATATTTTTTATACGACCATGTGGTGATGTTGATCAATCGTTTTTGAAATGTCGAATATGCCATTATCTTGTTGCAAGCTTTTGTCTCTCCCTCTTCTAAAAACTCTATCATCGGTTGAATTCCTCTACATATTGATAGACGAATGAGAAGAATTAGATGATTGACAAAGATGTGACTCAAATATACATTGAAACATGCAATAATAAAGAAGGATGCAGGCTGCTACCTTGTAGTAGACCGACGTAGATGTAGAAAATACGTGATTTAGTCTCTACAAAAACTACATACACCCGGAAGTCGTTAAGCCAAGAAATAATCAGTATCAATAGTTCAAGTGGTATTCTTACGCTAAACAGTTTGAAAATCAAAGCTATGTGCCATGCATAATTATAAATTTTATTTTGTTTTGTGGAAGTTTTCGATCTTATACGATAATTATCAACCAGTTTAACAGAACTATAGATATTACAAAACACAAACAGAGAAAACAAATAGTCAATCAAGAAGATGAATGAGAAAGATGAACAGCATAATCAATAACATCATAAACATAAACTTCTAAACTCGTATTATTGAGTTAAAATTATCATCAATATACATTTAATGTAACAATAGCAATAATTCAATGTAATAATAATGCAATGTGATGACATTATGAAAATTAAGAACATCATAATGAAAATTAATAATAACATAACAATGTAAATTAATAACATTATAATGAAAATTAATAACATAAGTGAAATCAATGATATTTTTAAAATAAGTAACATAACAATGTAACCAATAATAAAGTATCATTTATTGAGTTATTATCCATCATAAATGAGTTTATTCCAAGTACCTATATACCTACTTATATAACTCATGTTTTTAGTTCTACTTAATATGTAATAATTATTTATGAAAGCAATACATCTGTAGTCCTGTTAAACTGGTTGATAATGATCGTATAATATCGAAAATTTCCATAAGACAAAATAAAATTTATCATTATAGATTTCTACATTTGTTTGATTAGCTAGATATTGAATTAAATCTCATGCAGTATTGCTTTCATAAATAATTATGCATAATTATTTATTTTTCGATTAACAATTACCATACACATCTGACGTCTCATTTGCGAACATAATATTCAAATCCAAAAATTGTTAAATTGAGTTTCAGTGTTTTTATTTAGGTTATAAACGTAGAAAGCAATCTTAAGTCTCAAATTTTCATTGTTTACATTCTTAAAAATTTGTTTATATCAATTTTAACCCTTTTACCTCCGATTAGCAACTAGAATTACCAGTTCTGAAAACATTGCTGATAATATAGAAATTGTCCTATTCAATAACGATCAAAACTCTTTTGGTAGTGAACTTCTTGAACTGTCTATTATTAAAAAGAACATTACTGTTCATTGTTTTTTCTATGAAATATCGAACCTAGAAAATCGATAATTTTTGAAAAAATGAAAAAAATTCAAGTTTCTGAAACAAAATGTTCTCTACTCATCATCAATAGAGATCTTTTGGAATTTCTTTGTAGTCTTGATCAATGAGAATACTCACGAGTGAATTAAATGTTTCGAAAGTTTCATGATAACTCCACGAATCACACATGCAAAGGCACAGAATCGATCATGTAACTTTTAAAATAATCCTTACCTTCAAATCATTGTTGAAATCAATCTAAATAGAAGAACTAGAATTAGTTTGCTGACATCGATATTTAGGATTGTAATTTTTCTTCCAATCGATCTAAATGAACTAGGTCAGATTTTATATATAAAATAATATTTACCGTTTTAGTTGTTGCTTAGATTAATCTATATATGATAAAAAGAATAAAATTCATATCTTAAAATAACATTTATTATCGAAGTTGTTGGCGAAATAAGTACCAATAAAAAAAATAGAATCAAATCTTTTCAACAGATACTTGCCATTAGGCTTGGAATTAAGATTGATTTAAATAAACAAAATATAATCTTTATCCTAATTTATTAACTTAAAACTCAAATCGTTTACTACTTATTCTTTCATTCCTATTTGGCCTTTGTAACAATCCGATGTTCCTACAGTCAATTATTTGGCTATATCTCCCATTTATGAACACATGTAATTTAGAATATATTTAATAGGTTTATGCACTTTGTCCTGTAAGTTCACGCGAAAAATAATTTGCTAAAGAGTTTAAATTTTATTCTTATTCTCCAAAAACTAGGCATGTTTCAGAAACTCACTGGGAATTATTCTGGTGACTCTCGGAGGATTCGCTAGAGACTTAAAAATTTTCAGGGATTCACCAATAACTTTGCAAGGGAGAGTTAACTAGGAATGAGTTTTCTAACATTGTTTAGAATGCTGATTCAATAAAAATAAAATATAATGACGGCTTTGATTATATTTGAAAATTGATGTGGGTATGGCTCCGACTGTGGCTTTCTTCTTCATCTACAACGGCATCCACGTCGTAAAGGCATACATCGTCGATTTACAATAACAGAAATAAAGAATACTCTTCCAGAATGTTCCATAAGTTTTTGTGCTGTTAACATTTCAGCATCCTTTCCATCAAATCGTATGTTATTATTATACATCAGCATTAAAGATTCGCATTTAATATGTTAATATGAACACAAAGCTAGAAATTTTCTACGACTAATCATGATTGGGAATTTTATTCAAGTCTCTAATGGTCCAATTCAAATACTTGTTATCGTTATCCCAGTAAACAACATCAACAATAATAATTATGTGGTAGATGGTTAACTTTAATTCTATTTAATAATTGTACAACATACCAAACTTATTTAAGTTAAACAATGTCTATTAACAACCATCAGATGTAATAGTCGAAGACTATGATTTATATTTATTCGTTATTTCACCTAACTATGGACTAATCTATTTTCATAGATGTGTTAATCTATTTCGTTCACTTTCGTTTTTTTAATGTTTTTAACACCTGTCTATATGAATGAATATATGCTGATTCATTTGTTAACTTGCTAAAATTTGTTTTCTTTTCTAATATTTTCCCATTATATTTGATTTTTTTGTATTATTCATTCATGGTTACATATTAAAGTTGGTCGTTATTGTACTCTTTGTCTCATTTTTTTCTACAAGATTTTGATTGGACACATTGTTTTATTCAATAGAAAAGTATGTTTCAGTGATGTCGCACTTATACATATTCACCATTTAAATATTATTTTCTATTTCTTTCTCATCCGTGTGTTCTGTCTTTCTTGCCTTTCTTTTATTTAACTAAATATGTAAACGTTTAGCTCACTTTATTATTCAATTGTTTTGCGTTCCTTCTGAGATACATAGATTGTGTGCGACACCATACACACGCACATTTATATGCATGTAAACATATCTATCTATTCATTAAGGAAAAACAAACATAGAACCGATAATACTATCTTTGCCCTAGTAATATCATAGGAGTCATTTTCTCATTCGTTTTGAATTTCGGTATAAAGTGGGATAGACTTGCTCCTTTTCCTCTGCTACAGCCATTACTGTAATATAGAAAATCAGATGATAATATTTCCTGCCGAACCAAAAAAAATGTCTATATAAAAATTGTTGGCACAATTTTTTATAGTTTTTGACCACTTCACGTATGTAAACTCTCGAAAATCATGAAGAGTGTCAACTCTTTCAAACAAAGAAGTGCGTGCAACACGGCATATGCACATACATTACATAAAAAGAAATATGTATACGTCAAATTTTTTATGGCCTTTCTCTGTTCTTCACGAATCGATAGAGAAACAAGCAAGACGATGATGCAGAACGATGTAACGCTTAACTTTTCTTCGCGTGTTCTAATATCTATTGATGGAGAAACGAGGGAAGCAATAAAAAAATAACCATGTAAATCTTTCTACATAAATTTTATGTGCGTTTCGTATCTCATGTATACTTATTTCTGCAGAAGTCAACATCATTGACAAAGTGTGAGAAAGAAAAAACGAAAGAAAATGAAAAAGTGTCTTCACTAGAAGTTTGAATTTCAATCACACTCTTGTCAATCAAGTAATATTTAGTGACAGTCACAGCTGGTTGATTGCCTATATTACACAAGTTGCTGCACAATACAATAAAGAGGCCCTACACAACAAATACACGAAAAGGCAACGTGTGATACACTAGAGACAGAGACACATCTGTTACAGTCATTTTATAGTTGTAAGAACATGAATTGGCCTGCATCAGAGGAAGCGCAACTCGTATCTGACGCTGACCCTGCAGGGTTCTCACCGAGCAGCTTGATCAACTCAAACGAACCTTCTGTTTTGTTCTCTCATGATTTGGAAAGATCATGTCCCGTGAACAGCAAGGACAGTATTACCAAGAAATTTGGTGAATCCAGCGAATCACTATTGTTTAGATTTCCTGCTAAATATGGTTACTTAGAACACATCCAATCGTACAAACCCTTCTATGCTACAGACGACAAGCATCTTACGGAAAAAGTTAGGTAATTGAAAAGTATTTTGAGTTCTGATTCGACGAAAAATTATCATACGAGAGGAATTGTTTGGGCACCTTTTCAAAAAATCTTAAGTTCAGAAATCAAAGGCAAAAGTACGGTAGATCTGCGAGTAAAATACGAGCCTTCCACGGCTATCGAGCATTTAAAAAAAAGTTTACTAGAATACTACATCAAGCTTTAGTAGATTGATGTTCAAAAGGTCTTGTTATTCATAATACTACTTTCTTCATTTGAAATTGATGTTTTTGTTGAGTATGTGATACTTATTCAGGCCACGAATCTAAAGTCGATTGAGATGGGTTCTAAAGAGACCTCTTCTGAATTTTTCATTTCTTTTCGTCATATTTTCCTTATTTATATAGGCAATTCTACGCGAATCAACTGAAACTTATAAAGTCTGTCGAAGCTATCCTATTGCCAAATAGTTTCGGCGAAGAAATCAACGTAACAGATTATCAGAAACAACAAGAACGCAAGAGCAAAATACTGAGCATTTTGACTCTGGTCGTCAATATTGTATGTTCTATATCGCGTATATCGTTGCATAGAGGCTCTCTCTGTTGAATGTAAGTTTCTAGCGCTTATCAAAACAGTGGCTGCTGTCATGTCAAAATCTCTCTCAGTGATTTCAACACTCGTCGATAGTGCTATTGATCTTCTATTTAATATTATTCTGATTTGGACAGCCCGCAAAATCAAACAACGCGATGCCTACAAATATCCTACAGGTGATTTGTTATGAATTTTTTCCAGACACTTCTCTATTGTTTTACAGGACGAACACGCCTTGAACCGGTCACTATTGTTATTCTATCTGTAGTCATGTGCTCCGCTAGCATAGAAGTGATCGTTGAGAGCAGTAGAGCATTAGCTCGAGACATCGATTACTTTACTCATTCATACAATATTTCATCATGTAGAACACTACAGGATATCGATATGAGCACGTTGCCCGTTGTCACCATGATACTCACTATCGGTGAGTCTTGCATTTTCTTGTGATCATAAATTGTTTGTATGTTCTCATTTCAAGTGTTTAAGGCTATTCTTTTTATATTGTGTCATCGGATCAACAATCCAACGATGCAGGCTCTCGCTGAAGACAATCGAAATGACGTGGCTTCGAATTCTGTAGCACTGGTGTGTGGAATTATCGGTAATTTAAGACCTGCTGCTTATTAATACCTGTGGACAAGAGAAAACATCGAGCTAGATCGATTCTTAGTTAATAGCGATCAAGTTGTCATTTTACCTATATCACAATCAGAATGCATCGATTGAAGCAGAATGAAATTGTTGTTTTAGATCTCATGACTAAATTCATTTATATTCGATGAGTACAAGAAAGATGAACATCTCTCAAATGATGCAAACATCATTATAAAGTAGTTTAAATCCAGTTGAAGTCAAGAATATCATGTTTTTAAGAGCAAATGAGAAAACTACTATACTACATTGCCAGAGTAAGATGGATGAAAATCTATTTATGGGCACTCCCCCGTCCACGTTCTCGACCACGAAAGTTCTTGTTTTTGGCTTCAAGTTATTTAGTCGTAAAGAAACATTCAATGATCCTTTCTTGAACGTCACAAAAACAAAACTTTTTCATTGTTTTTCAGCGTCTCAAAAAGTTTGACGTTTCAGAGCTCCTATCTCAAAAACCGTCTTCCAGGTCTTTTCATTTTGTACAATGTCTACACTAAGCTAATTATTTTAGTGTCAAAATATATTGAGTGAATCGAAGTCAAATCCTCCTAGCCACTTCGAAACACCATAGTTGATAACTATACATGGAAAAAAATAAAAATTTTGAAATATCAAAAAAGCAGCGTTTTGAATGCTTGCATGTTTCTCTCAAACCAACTTTTGAAGAGAAAAATCGAACTTTTCTTCCTTTTCTTGCTGGACTTTCAAAGGATGGGGTTGAAACCTTTTCATGTGAGATTTCTTCAAATCTCGACATGAATTCTTTTTTGTTTGAAAAAAATATTTCAGTACTGAATATCGGTAGGTTTCACAAAATTTGTATCAATTGAAAAATACTTCAAAAGTAAGTTTTTATTTCCGTGAGCTCTCCGCACTTCGACTCTTATTTTCTAACGGGTCAATATTTCCCGACGAAAAAAAAAACATGCATTGCTCATTCGACTCTAGTTGCCACGAGATAAATTTCCTCGAAAGTGGATGAATACTGGGCGATAGGTGGGGACAGAGCAAAAACTTCAGACTATTTTTGGCCTTTGTGTCTCCTAGATTCCAAGGAAGGAAGCATCCATAAATATTTTGTCTAAAACAATTTGCAATCTGTTTGTCGAGTTATTCTTAAAAAATCCTGGTACGAAGGAAGGAAGTGCTCTTAAATATTTGACGGCTACTCTTAAACAAAAGAAATGATCAAAAGTGCTTTGTCTTTTAGGTTCAAGTGCTCTGCACCAAAAGATCAGACAAGAAGCTATCGTTGTCGATCCAATTGGGGCCATCATTATTTCCATTTACATCATAGTCGTTTGGATTCGGCAAGGCCACAGTAAGTACTTAATGTCATCATATTCGAGATTTCCCTATTACCACATAACACTAACTCTTATTAAATCTCATCCCATCTCTTGAGTTGTCAGACAATTCGAAATGATTAATTATCTTATTGAAATAGTCATTATGTGATTTGGTTTTGTACAGGACAAGTTCGCCGTCTAACAGGTCTGACGGCTGATCCACTCTTTCTGCAACAAATTACACATGTCGTCTACAATTTTCGCCCTAATCTAGTGACAAAAATCAAAACTGTTCGAGCTGTTCATCATGGTACAAAATTTTTCGTCGAAGTTGAGATTGTTATGTCAGGTTCAATGCCTCTGGCGATTGCACATGATATTGGAGAAGAGCTACAAAATCAACTTCATAAAGTACCCGACGTTGAACGAGCATTTGTCCATGTCGGTTTTGAAGCTACGCGCGTGCCAGCATCTGAAGACACAATCGTTTGATTTCGCGTTTTGAAAACTACCGTGTTACATTTTAGTCAATAAAAATTTTCTTTTCCATTTTGAGATAAAAAACTGTTAGTTCAATAATCTATATAGTTAAAGCGTGGAAATACAAAATAACGACTTTATTAATAGAAGATATATAATAATAAAGCTTTTTAAGTTGGTTATGTAAACTTCGAGATTCTTAAATTAGTAATTCGAAAACGTCTGCAATAGAATTCACTTTTGCGAGTATCTGTCATAATCTGTAATAATACAAGAAATAGTTCTAAATTGTGCGTATACTTCAGAAGTCTTTTAAGATCATTGTTTTACAAAATCATTCTAATTTGAGACGTCATTTCCATAATAAGAAAATTATTATATCATTTGGGTGTTGAAAAAAGGAAATTTTGAAAGTATTACTTTTATGTGAAAATAACAATTTTTATGGAAGGTTTGCAAGGATTCAGACCTATCCCAAAGAATGTAAGTTGAGTTATGGAAATGCACACAACTACAATAACCAATGGAAAAATTACAGAAGCTTTTTGAAATCGAGAACAAGCTCTGTAATGTAATTGTGTGCCATATTTCAGATGAGAGTTTGTGTTTGACAGCGACATCCAGGTAAGTAATCATTAAATAGAATGTAAAAATTTAATTTTGTTATGCTACTGGAAAGACATAAATCGATCTTGACGTGAGAGATTTAAATGCAGCAGTAATAAATGATGAAAGTCAACGAGTTTTCACAGAACTATAGAGGATGCAGTCGTTCTGATCCAAAACGTGTTGGGTTGGTTGAATTCTCAATAGACTGCATTAAAATGAATCATTACCGACCTTTGTAAATATTTGCTTGTTTTCATTCAACTTCATAAATAGGGTGTTTTTACTTCAATTCATAATACGACTATATTTTGTTTTCTTCTAATGACACAAAAAGCCACTGGAGCAGACATGTCGATTCGTACTGATACCAGTACTCTTTCGATCAAACGGATCCACGCGAAACATCCATACGCTTTGTCTTCGTTTCAAAATTATTGTTGTGAACCAAACACAAAAATAAGTGAGAAATCACAAAGCAAAGATAACCCATCCGCTTCTAAATGTATTAAAATTGAAGCTAACGACCTAGTTCATGCTCTGAGCAAAAATATTATTGAAGATCTTTGGAAGTTGAACAAGTTTACTTCAACGATTCCATCGAATTTTATATGGAACAATGCTGATATTCCCATTCATCGATTTTTGATAGATGATGCAATATTAAGAACTATGGAAGATACAAAAGTAATCAATTATGTGGATTCACTAAAACGAGTGTATCCTATTCGAACATCTGGTAAGGATATATAAAGGTGAAGTTTATAGTTCAGTCGAGTGTCCTAATTAGGCATTGAAGCACTGGTCAAATTTACCGATTTACTTGACACGTAGATCTGAAGCAACCATGCAGACATTTTTTACCTTGGAAGTTTTGGTGAGTCATAAGCAAGTTTCGAGTACTCTCCGAGTTCTATGAAATAAAATTAAACCAAGATAGGTAGTGTCGAAAGCTAAGCAAAACCAATTATTTAAAGTTCATATTTTGCCTATTAGTTCATTTTGTCTTCGAAAGTATGAATCATTGTATACAATCTAAGGATAAGTTGAGGATGGTTGGTTAGAAGTGAGTCCTTTCTTCACCAACAACTCCACGCACAACTTCAAAAAAGTCAGCTTCTACATAGTTCACGAGGTGGTTTTGACTATGTTAAAAAAGATCTTCTCTTTCGATAGTCGTGAGTATTGTTTAATCAAAAAAGTTTTGATGCCTTAATGGCAAGTGAAGCGTGATTCGAAAGAGCGAGATACGTGAAAAGCAATCTTTAATCGATTTGGCTAAAAATTTGCCAGATGGGCGATCTTTATGGCGTACTCATGAAAAAACTCAAATATATATTCTTTGTTCATGTCCCTATCATCAGGGTCAGAGACCGAAAGGAATATAAGAATCTCCATTTGGAATCGATTCTATTCAGTTCGACTCACAGTAGCACAAAAAATTTGTTTTACTCTTTTCTACTTATGTTCTAATGTTCTCTTCTGAAAAAGCTAATTATGTTTCTATTTTTGCGTTCTAGTCATCTTTTCTATATTTGATCTATTCATAGATATTCAAAAATCATTTAGTTTTTTTAAAACAGAAAGGAATACAATGGAAAGTAGATTTCATGCAATAAAATGATTCATGCAAGTACGACATACGTGATGCGTGAACAATCAGAATGTTTAGGTAATGGAAATTGTCTTCTACATGCTGTACTCTTGGCTATGGTGGGTATTCACGATTTGAACCTTCATTTACGTGATCGACTAAAAATTTTCATGGACATAAATGAAAAATCGCTTAAAACTCATTGGCAAATGCAGCGATTACGAAGTGATCAAATGTACGGTGTTCAATCGGAAGATAAAGAACTTGATAGAGTAAGTGTGAACGATTAATTCTTGTCTCCTATCCTGCCATTCTTCGCTGTAGGAATGGCGAGAATTGTGTGATTTGGTTCGATACGAGAACGTTGAAAATGAACAAGCACCGAAATGTCTCCATTTTCTCGAGGCAGTGCACATTTTCTCGTTATCGAATATGCTTCAGCGGCCGATCATTCTCTTCTCCGAAGGCGTCATTCGAAACAAATACGGTGAAGCAATCTCGATCAATGATTTGCCGGGAATCTACCTACCGATTTTGTGTTCACCAAGCAAATGTGTTCGTGAACCTATTGTCTTGGCGTACGATCTGTCGCATTTTTGCCCCTTACAAACGAGTGATGAAGAATATCGAATTTCGCAAGTAACTAAGCGCAAATGCGAATTCGAAAACTTAATTCCACTTTACCAATCAATTGATCAGGCGTATCGACAGAATCTCTTGCCTATTCATTTTCTGAATAATGATATCACTCCAGAACAAACGAAACAGTTGCTTCACGATTACCTACAAGTAAAAACAATCTATCTTCGTAAAGAAGCGACTGTCAAGGGCATACCAATTGATTGTGCTCAGCTCGGCACGACAAATCTCGAGCCACGTAAAAACTTTTTCATGCTGTATCAAAGATACATGGAAAACTTTTATGAGACACAAAAAAGAGAAACGAACATGAGAACAATTGCACCTGAACGTGAAGAGAAACAGAAACAACACACTCATTGCACCTCTATTCAGCAGTCCTCTATAGTAGATCCATCTGCATCACCACGAACAAAAACTGCGATGTCCTCACCATCACATCTGGATGCCACTAAGGAAATGAACAGTAAGAATACAATGAATTGTGCTGACAATCTCACTTTTGGACACCGATCTTCGGACGATCGTTCTATGAAAAATGTAGGATTATTGTTGATAAACTCATCATCATTAGCCACTTGCATTCATTCTAGATTGTTGAATCTACGCCACCTGTGACCACAATAAAATGTACATTATGCAAAGAAAAAACTGGCAATACGCATTGTGATGCTTGTCAAATTTCATTCTGCTCGACGTGTATGGAGAAACATCGGAACGAAGTACTGAGGCATATAGAACCATTGAAGGACATCCGTAATGCCATCAAAATGAGACTTGACTCAGTGGCATCTCCATCGCAAAGCGAGAAGACCATACCATGTATGATTGAGATCGATCGATGGGAACAGATGATGCTGCAACGTGTTCAAGACATTGCCGCGCAGACACGATACAATGTTCGTGAAACGCTAAAACATAGAACTGGCGAGATCTGTGTTCGATTCGACAAGCTTTCGATTGATATTCAGCAGCAACATAAAAAATGTAACTATTTAGAAAATGAAATCAATCATCTGAGAAACCAATTAGAACAGTTGAAACATGAAGTTGATCACATATTTGAGAACATCAGTGTTGACACTGCGGTGTCGAACAACATCGCATGGGACTCGTTTATATATGTCATTGAAGATTCAACATTATCAGACACTTCTGCTAGTTCGTACGAACCTATCGACATTTCGGTTTCAACAAGCAATGATCCAACTTGGCGAACTAGAAGACGGAGTAGACGTTCGGGCATAATTCCTTCAAATGCATCTTCTACATGGTCTCGTGTGAACGCAAGCAAACAACTCCCATCACGGGTAACTGATAGTGTTGGTCCAGTAAGCACTGCTTTACAATGAATTCTTCAATGAAAGTGTGGATGTGAAATGTAGGTAGATATAGATATGCGTTTTCTTTTCGTCGAAATTCATTTACATCCATATCCACACTCACACCCTCAAGAACATAGCATTTATTATTTATTTTTTTTTCGAAAAAAATGAATCATTTCACAAACCAGTGAAATGACTATTTGGATTCACACTGTGCAAAAACAACATCGTTTTATAAAATAAAAATTTTCTAACATATAGACAAATATTTTATGATATCATACTTAAAACTATATCGCTCAACTAGGACCGTTCTCGAAATTACTATATGATCATAGCACAAAAGAACATATTTAAATAACGAACATGATAAAGTGCAATCAATAAAATGCATTCATCTTGATTAAAAATATTTCTCGAATAAATTAGAAAAGTTATATATAACATGATGCTAAAGTCAGAATTCTGTTAAACTTTTCCAATCAATGATTAGTCATACAGTCTTTTTTAAAATTCTTAACGGGATTGCTAGTGATTTATATCTAAGTTGTTGCACTTATCATATTTTCAATTCATTCACATAGATTATTTTTGGAAAGGAGAAGTTTTTGCATGTTTGTTGATCATCATCACAGCAAATTGCTCAAATGTTAACTTATCTTCTATGTTTTCATTATTAACTTCTTGTATAAGCAACCAATAAATGTAGATTACTATGTTCTCAATAAAAACTCGGATATTTTTAAAATCTATCCATCTGAAGAATAATATACCCTAACCTATATATTATATCACCCTCTTCAAATACATTGTACGAGTAATACCGATAACAACCTTCTTTAATTTTTATTGTTCCATTTTTCGTTTCTTTATAAATGTCTCCTATTTCTACTTGGCGAAGTTTTAATATTTTAATGAAATTGAATCGAAAAACAAAAGGCTTTTACAGTATTTTCATTCTATAAGTGTTTGTTACAGACATTATTGCTTATTCTACTTGTAAGTTAAAAATTACCTTTGAATAGATCTCAATGTTTTCTTTTTAATCTTCAATGTTATCTACATCTTTAGTAAAAAATAATATCAGACCATTTATCTCTGAATCAAAATCTGATGAAGCCTTTTTCTGTCTGCTTAATGCATATTAATTATTTTTTCATATTTACATCATTCAATCGCATGTTTCATAGTCACTGCTTTGCTAAAAAGTTGATCCATTACGATAGAACAAAAAGCTAAATAGAAACCAATAGAAGAAGCAGTTTTATATCAACCAGCTACTTCGACTTTTGAAATACTGATTACGATATATCTTTCCCAGAATCTTTCCAATTTTTAGCGAAGAAGTTGTTAAGAAATGTGTAATAGAATTGTCTATATATTATAAAACAATTAATACGGATACACGAATAGAAAAAAACTTTCATATGGAAAAAGGCATTTTAATACCATCAAAACGTATCTTATGGAACACATTCTTCAACAGTTTTGTTCGCATTTCAATGCGTTTGAATAAATGCGTTCAAAACTAACCAGCCTGCACACACTCAGCTTTTAATCAGATATACTAATCCAATATATATATATCTGATATAGATTTCTTCTTCATTTCATCATAATGTAAGGCTGGAAAAACTTCACTTCCAATTATGCTAGTATTTGTCTTGTGTTTCGTCGTTGATCTATTGCAACCTCTCATTCTCTAAGATTGAGGATGTAGGTGAGGAGTAAATATTGACGCAACCAGGACCAGTTTTGTCTTTGCACAATCAAGGATTCACACAATCCCTTGAAACAAGAGAAATTTCATTCAATATTCAACTTCGATTCGATAGTCAAAACAGAGAAAAGATATCTAAACTGTTTTTAGAAGTTCATTGTATTAGTATCATTACCAGACGATGAAAATATTAGTATAAACGAAACTTCGAGAGAAATTTGATTGTTTCAATATATCAAATCATATCAAGATTGTTTGGTACGAATAAACAGATTTTTTTTGACACGTTTTAAACGCATTGTTGTGAAAGCAACCATGTGAGACACTGTTTTGTAGAGTTATAACGATCCATATCTTGATCTTCTTGTCACAAAAAAATAATAAAAATGATAACTTCTCAGTGATCAACTGTTGTTCATTTTGAGTGAGAATAGAGTCAAACCATTTCTTGTGGCAGTGTTAAACAATGGGGGTCTCACTTAATGTCAGTCAAAAAATACGCCGCGTCACCTGTTATGTTCTATATGTGAAATGCATGTAAAACAGTGAACTTTTTGCTCCTTATATTTTTCATGGCTATAGTGTTCATCACGAATGATCAAACTATGAACTGAATAGCATTGAGATGAATGCTATAATCAATGTCGGTGATACTTAATGAATAGTTCTGTATAGAGGATGTGGGAGTTGAACGTGATCACTTCTTAATAGAGAACATATTAACTTCATTGCATGATTCAATGTATCGTCGTCTAATCGATGGCATTATTCATTTCATCATGACATCGATCCTTAATTTTGTTTTTGCTCTCGTGATTATCATTAAATCAACAAAATGAAAAGCATTACTATCATGACAACAAATATTTTATTGTATTTTAGAACAACGATATTATCAAATAGTAAATTCGTTCGATTCGATGTATGTCTCGAATAGAAGACAACACTTGAGTCCATTATTCTCTATGACCAACAGTTCATTTTTTTATTGATTAGAGAAAAAAGGACCTTTAAATTGATAAAATGTTAATAACATAATGTTTCTTTTAAAGAAATGTCTGCAGGTTTGACAACATGGGTGTAGATCAAAGGAATACCAACATTCACATTCACACCCACACCGCTAAAATATGAAAAAGTGAAACGACATTTACTTGACTCTGCCTTGTAGTATTTTTGATAGAGCTTAATACGCTTTAATTTTAAGACAAAATTAAAATCTTATCACGTTTGGCGATTCTTCAAGAAACTTCAACAATAAGTATTATTTTATTAGAAAACAAACTTTTTTTGTACTATTTACTATGGATAGGAAGAAAGAAATTATGGCTCTTCTCATTCAACGGAAACATGTATAAACACAATGATAAACGACAATGGTATACATGTCCAGATGTAGCCATAGTCTTTTCAGTTATCATATAAGAGAACAATACGATTTTTCAAAACTAGTCCTTTTAAATGTTGAAATTCATGTCTCATAAATAAAACATACAAATGCAGCCATTTTGGTATTAAAGTACTGACTTTCTTGCCCCAAAAAACAGTATTTCACGTTTGAAATTTCGAAACTGTTGACTTTTAAAAATTAATTACTTAGTTAAAAGAAAAGTGTTCTATATGCATCAATATATATTCATTCATAAAGTTTGTTTCGACGTGTTCTTATTATTCTCCTAGATAAATGCTGAAAATTATCCATGAAACGGTACACGTAAAATTACTTTCATAATACCAACAATAATACTTAATAATGATGTTTGCTTCTCTTATTTGCATACAAGTTCCTTTGAGTCCACTTCTACGATTAACAAAGAAATCAGTCCATTTGATTGAAAAAATGCAGAGATATTTCATTTTTCTTTTTTAATGATAAGTAGTGTTGATTGTTGGTGCAACATACACTGAAGATAATTTTATCTCTAATAGAATAACTAACGTTTTTCAACTCAAAGTCAAAATGGTTTAGATCAGCAAAATTTTTTTTTGATAATAGATTACCATAAGAACGAAGTAGAATAATATGTGAACCTCGTCGATTCTCATAATAATATATGAAGCCACTTGATTCAGACGTATCAGGATGTTCAAGATCATAAGCACATATTAGAATATTAGTTCCATTCTAGTCACAAGTATCAAAAAAATGTTTAAATCCAATATCTGTTCAACTATTTTGTTCATGACTTTTCAATGGAAACCAATTTATTATAGTGTAACCAATTATTGGTCGTGAGATACTATACGCATATCGATTCGAGTAATCCACAGATATAAATAAGATACTAATTTTAGAGAAGTACGATAAAAGTTTTATGTCAACTTGAAAATGAACGTGACCTACTTGATCAATCTAAACAAGCCCAATACCAGTAGCTTTCATTCCACTAACTATATGTAATAAACATAAAAAGTTTTAGACAAACAAGAAATTGTTTTGAAAAATGATATACCTGAACTAATACTCAAAGCAATCCAACCTGCTGTTTTAATATGTAGTTCGAACATTATTTCTTGTTCAGTTTCATCTATTGTCCACCAAACATCGACTACATTACATTCAAGTTCAGTTGAATATCAATAGCTAGTCTATGGTTTAAAAGAACTTGTAATTCAATTACTTTTTTAAACTGACAACAACAATAGAATTATACAAGAAACAGCGTATATCTTCATTGTTTGTTTTTAATGAAATAAAATTGCTACTGTGAAAGATTTTTATAATATATGTATAGATGGCCTCGATATATTGAATATATTTATCTTGATATTTTCTTAGAGTTATTAGTCAACGTATTTTTGTTTACAGTGATCAACCTAAAAAAAAAACTTTCATTGTCAGGTAAAGTTCTATAATATCGAGTTCTATACATATTTTGACAACATTTGCGTCATAGCATGATACGATTTTTCTTTTCATTTGATAAGTCAGTCTATGAGATGATCGTGTAATATGATTCTTATTCTTTTAAATTGTCAAATATGTATTATTAGTATCATTAAATTTATCACTAAAAACAGAATAGTATTAAAATTAGGAATAATATCTGTAGTATTATTGCTCATCGATGCTCTTTTACATTCTTTTTGTTTGAAATCTTTATATTTTGGTAATTAAAGTAGGGTCAAGATTTGAAGATTTTCTGCTCAGCTAAACAAAACAACATGTGAAGCATCGGTATAAAACGCTTGCCACTGTAGAGTTAACTGTGATATCCAATTAATATTCGTTGGCTATTCTTTAAATTTTTCATCATTGAACGTTGAATCTAAATAATAAAAATAAACTTCAAGTTTTTTTTTTCATTAAAATTTTCCATGATAAAATAAAATTCATATTAAAACATATTTAAGCGTTTGTCTTCTTCAGCATTTTGAGCTGAAATTGGAATCAGCGTACAGCGCAAATAAGATAACAATACGAATAACATGCTCATTGGGCGAATCTGGATACAAGCGTTAGCGATACTTCCATCTCTTTGTTTTCTCTTGTACATCATCACTATAGAAGTATTCATCACTCTCCATACCCTATTCGATCTATTCTGGAAAAAGGTGATTAGGCATGGACAAGATATTGCTATAGAACCTGTTTCTTTTGCTAAATCTTCTTCAATATTGTCACACATTCTTCGAATAACTATCAACACATGATATTCAGTTGCTAGGTCTTCTCGGGTTCTTGTTATAACTCTGGGCAATTTGTCCTCTTTGTTTTTTAGCGTTATTCTTGAACCACTGAGCTTATCGAAGATCAAGTTGGGCAGTGTAGCAAGTGTCAACTCTCTCTCTTTCTCCGCATGATTCAATACCATCAATCAGGACTGCAGAGCCTCTAAGTGAGAAGCTACAATCTATCATTCTTGAGCAAGCAAAACCTTCAAAAGAAAGCACTATCAAAGATGGTTATGATGGTGAGTCTGTATATGTTGAATTGATCAATAGCAATAGTGTGAAAGTGGTAGTCAAGGGTGGATTGAATAAAGCAGACGAGGAGAGGGCAGGAAAAATGAATCAAAATGTGCATTCTTTGTTGTGAGAATTGCTTGGAGAATTGCTTTTCTGACTTGTCTTTCAATAGGGATTTTGATTTTCGAATCTATATTCTCTTTGATAAGTACGATTATATTTTTTAATGATGAGTCAGCCTTTCTTGATACTTCCTTTTCATGAGCGTACATATATGACTCATAAAAAATTGCTCGTTCTTCTGCATGAAACGCATGTATTGCGTAAAAAAATGCGTGGTAGGTAAAACTGGGAACTGTTAAAGTCATGCTTGTTTGACTCTGTTCTCTGCATATGCTTGCTTATTTTATGTATATACGCCATATCGTCATCAACCCATTTTTCTTTCCAACAAATCATGTATTAATAATGCATCATGAATAATGGAAAATTGAGACTTAGGTAAACTACCAACTGTCAGAAATTTCATAAATCATTTTGGTTATGATACTTCAGATAGAAAAAACCTAGTATGTAATATTATTGATTTCAAAACACAAGAACCATGATTATTTTTTGAGTAGTTTTTGATAATGACACACAATGGAGAGCTGCAGTTTTCACCATTGAAAAAAGATAACAATGCATCTTATTAGATAGCGTAAATTTTTCTGTCATGCGAGTCGAGATTTTTTATTGATCTTTCTTTTTTTCAAAAAAAAATAGCTTCTGAGATGGGTCGCTAGAACACAAACTCATGAAAATATAACGAGAAAGTTAATTTTCTCTCTATTCTTTTTTGCAAAAAACTGAATAGAAGACTACAGTAAAATTCTCGTAACTCCTCAGCAACCGAAGTTAAAAATCTGGATCTTGCACATTTTTAAAACAAATTTTCAATTGACATTTTTAACTTACTCCCAAAAATCGAAAATTCACTAAAGTAATTAGATAAGGTACATTAATTTTCAAAACGCTCGTGTCTAAACTGTTAGTGGAACTTCTCAAAAAGGTCGATAATGTATGATTCGACGCCTCTATATCTTTTTTTTTTCTAATGATATAAACCAGATTTATCCATCATGTTCCTATGAAAAAGTCTCTTCAAAATGCACTGATGACTGTTATTTTTTGAAATCGAAATGGTTCTATTAGAATTGAGCTTCGTGATAAGATTGTATTATAGAAAGGATGAGTATCGCCGAACTGGAACATACATTCAGTACTCAAACAAATCCACCAATGTTGAGAAATCAGCAAGCACAACAATCTTCACATGATCAAAACTTGAAGCCGTACATCGATCATCAACACAGCAACCATCAAGAACACAATCGAAATGTTACTAGATCTGAAAAACTGGAGACATCGTTGTAAGAACTAATTTCTTTGAAAAAGAATGGAAAGCAAATGTTTTTAACCATTTAGTCCTACAACACAGAAGGTATCGAATAATCGCTCAAAAAAAGCTCAAGTTAAAACAAGAACAATGTGTGAACAACCATCACCAATAGATTCATACAATTATTTACCAGTGATACAACGTATGACGGAACAAATCTCTCATTCACACAATCATGGTCAACATTCATTAACAAATAATAAAAAGTCTTCGTCTCATGATAGTTTCAAATATGTCATTCCACAACAAGAACAAGCATATTGTCAAGCGAAACACGCACAAATAGTACTTGATGAATCAATGGCTATTAACCATAATCTTGCTCTTGAATTAAACGTCAAAGAGAAGTCACAATCACACAACACTTCTCATCAAACAAAAAACTATTCTGAACTAAAAGCAAATACTGATTTCAGTGATATGCAAATAATTGATGTTCGTCATAAATTGAATCTTATTGAACAAGATCGTATGCAAACTGTTCAGCCATATGTATTGAGCGTGAGATTTAAAAAGAATTATGACAATGATCAACTTTTATGTGATATCGAATCAAGAACAGTAGTAACTGTTCAAACAGGTTCTTTTTCATTGTTGGTTTTAAGAAAAAAATAGGATTCATTTTCAATCGTAGATTTTACAACACAAGATGATGATACATATCATCGACAAGTACCATCACATCGATCTATTGATACAAATACTTTTAGCTCATACGAAAAAAAATATTCAAAAAATTTGTTTATCGATGATCGACATTCATCCGTGAATAGAATAAAACACAGAACACGGCATCGTGTTAGAACATCATCACCCATTCGTGAGAAAAAAAATAAAAATCAATAGAATGTTTCTATTTTCATATTTAGATGTTTCAGAACCATCCAATACAATGGATAAACAATCTCAAATAGACAGTGAGTGAACTACATGCAATCACTGAACAGAATTTTGAAAAGTCTTCATTCTCATTAATCCATTGAAAAATACCGAATGTCTGAACTTATTTATCAGTGTTCAGTTCCTTTCAGTATCTAGAGGATATATTTAGCATAGTGATCTATATTAAAACGATGAATAATAGAATCAAAGCAGTACTTTTCTGCAAAGGAACGAAGAAATTGAAAATTTTAATCTTTTTTGTACTTCTTTGTTCTCTAGAATTCATATTCTAGTGAGAGTTTCATCCTCCGATACTCTTCGTAGTTTTTCATAAACAATTCTTTTCTCTTTTCCATCTAACCTTCTGATCTTCTATTAGATATTCTCATGCTTATTAGCTCAATCGTTTTAAGATCCATCGCGACATTTGACAAAAAACATTAAGATCAAAGATTGTTTTACAGTCGATTACGAATATGACTGCGGTCACAGAAGGGATCAATTTTGAGGACAATGAAACTGATGATTATTTTGATAGTAATTTGATTTTTTCTTCGTCTCGAGAAAAATCTGTAAGTTACTTGTAAATTAGTCTCATGCTTGTAAACGATACAACAAATTATGTGAGTACAGTCAATCATCATCAATTTTTTTCAAAGTTTTATTCATAAGTATTAATAGTTAGCTTTTTTTTTTAAGAAATAAGTGATCGTCAGTATCCAATTTCGATGAGTATTGAATAATTATCTATACATTATAATCAAGAACAAAAGAAAAACTTGATTTTTTCAAGGATTCATATGACACCAATCGCATTAAATATCTTTAGAAATTATTGAGAAAATTCGTGATAAAATTAGATTTCTTTGAAAATTAACATTTTCATTTAAGTAGAATTTAGAAAAGTAAGTATCTATAGACAAAGATAAATTTTACCAATCAGTAGTATGAAGAAGAATGGATACTGTGAATCCTAATACATATTGAAATCGTATTACCAAAGATAGAGCATTGCCAGCATTGAGATCAATTGAGAAAAAGAAAGAAGAATTTCCACCATGAGACCAAAATTATTATCATACTCAATGCCAAGAAGCTTGACTGTTCTTTGTATGAGTCATTGTCCAGTTATTATATCCAACAGGTGTGAAATCGGTTTGATAATGAGAAAATTTATTTAGACAAAAGTCTATTTTCAATATCTAAAAGATGATGTACACGTTGCATGATGAAAAATATGAATTTATTGATTTTTATGATAGACGATGAATATCAGGCATACGTTCCCATGATTTATCAAACTGAGTCTGACAATTATCAGTCAGCCAACCATAACAAATCTTATCCATTGAACTACGATAGCTATCAGCATGTAATTTTAATTGATTGTCTTTGCGAAATATCTAAGCTTTTACTTTGTAGAATGAACTGAAACAACAACGAAGCATATCATGTGAAGTTAACGTAGTAGCGACGGAGAAATCTGCACCTGTCGAAGAAAAGTAAGCTCAGCGAAATGATCTATAGCTACCATTTTGTTATGATTCTTTTTGACAACTACAAATGATCATGTTAGTCTAAGTCTTCCATGAGTACTACATATCGAAGAAATTCTTCTATTAAAGTGGTACTGTAAAAAAGAATGACAAGAAGACGTTTTAGCACAAAAGAAGAGAACAGTGATCGACTTACTTCGACCAAAATTAATTGATCAATTTGTATTAAGAATCATTGATTTCATTCTACATTTGACCTTTTATCGCAACGAAAATAACTGCCCATTCACAAGCTATTTCAATTATATAGTTCTGCTTGTAAATAAGCAGCTATTCATATACGAAATTTTTCAAACGTAGTTCGATTACTCGACAGTGCATTACTTCATTTAGTCACATTTGGTTGAAATTATGAGTGCACTAAAATTCAGCATTAAGAGTTGCTTTTAGAATGCTTCTTTTGTCTGAAAAATGATTTTGTAGTCACGTCTTACACGGAGCAAGATCTCAGCAATGTCAAATACATATCATTTTCACTTTCGATCTTGCAATGAGCATCTTGTTTCAATATATTATCACCTTTCCGAACAAATGAGGTCTATGTAATAACACTCGCAAGAATTTTAAGTTTGAACTTAAAAAAATGCATTCGCTTGAGGTCAGCCGATCATCCATGTCGAAACGTGAAAACTATATAGATTACTTTGTAGATTTACAGCATCGTTGTGTGTGAATTTTTCTTAGTAAAATGTATCTCAAACACTATTGCAGCAATCAAATGATTTCTACTTTGATATCGTTATTAATTATTTCATCTTCAAAAGAAATTAAATTGTATGTTTGAATATTCTCAATTGTAGTCAGATTTCTATGCCGTCTCGCGAATGTGCTGTCTGTTTAGTCGCACAACCTGAACACGAGTTTCATCCTATATACAGTGAAGGGTGTCGGCATATGTACCGTTACATTTGTAATTCATGCACATACTACAATGTTAAAGTTACTCTTGATAGTACCATCAATAGCCAAGTATTTTGTCCGGAGACAAGTTGTACGACAAAGTTGAGTTCAGACGAGGTTCGTCAAGTGCTCATCATCAATAATGACCATGTGTTGTTGAACAACTACGATGCTTATCTGATCAGACAATATCTCGAAAATGAAGATAACTTTTTTTGGTGTGCTCATGGATGTGGTTCCGGTCAATATGACAATACAATATCAATTTTAAATTCGAAAATGACTTGTATCGCATGCAAAAAAGATACCTGCGTCTTTCATGATGTTAAGTGGCACGAAGGTATGACCTGTCATCAATATAAGCGACTGTACCTATCTGCTGATAAATTGACACGCAAATGGATTAAAACACATACGAAAAACTGTCCTAGATGTCACTGCAGAATTGAGAAGACTGGCGGTTGTCATCATATGTTTTGTACACAATGTAGATATCAATTCTCTTGGAGGCTTGCCGTGAACTATACTCTATTAACAAACCGCTGGAATACTTCACATGAAATCAATCGTAGACATAGTTCAAAAGGAAGTCTTACGTCACTTTTTCGTATGTTGAAGTGTCGTAAGTGTTAATAGTCTCAAATGAAAACGGCTTTATTGAACTATGTTTGTAAGTACTCAAGACGTTCTTTTTCAATCATAATCAAGATGTTTATCATGAATTTTCAAGTACCATAAGCTACGGTGCTCGCATGATTCTATTATTCTGTAGCTCAATCACGACGGAAAGGAATTTCTTCATACATTGGCTGATTCTGAAATTGAATGACGATGTCAATATTTTCATAATAACTTACATTGGTCGGACTTTTCATACATTGACAAGTGCAGAAAAAAGCCACTTGCAATATTTTTAGTTTTTCTGTTCTTTAATACATTCTATCGAGACAAGTTCTTTTCCTAAAAGAACTTTTCTATTAAATTCTGTAGAAGAAATCGAAGGATAATATTCTTCTACAGTAAAGACGAAAAACGATAGGATCTATTATTAATATAAACATGAAAAAAATATACATTGGTTTTTCTGTTTATAAAATCCGCTGTACTTTTTCTGAAGTTTTACAAGCATCAAAATACGATTGAAATCTATTTTCCTACTGTTTACAGAAGGGGTAGGTGTGCGTGTGAGTGTGGGGTGTGGGGTGTGGGGTGTGGGTATGTATTCTTTCATGGATCAAGATGAACAACAACAACAGCCAGACAAACGCACATTTCACTCACACCAAGTGAGATATGAAAACGCTGAAAATTTCAGCTTTTAAATCCTCCCTCTGTTACGATATTGAAATCACAATAGAGATATTCCTAGGTAAAAAATGACGGTAAGGAATTCAATACTCATTCATTTTTTAACAACAATACTTTTAGACATGAATTTTTGTGAATGTATTCAAACGTAGGTGTTTTACTTACTGAAATAATCAAAGCCATTTTTCAGTATGTTAATTAATATACAGATATTTCATAAGCCCTAGGTGTGAGCTCTTACTGTGAAACAAAATGCTACTGATCTCTAACTATTAGCAAGTTTTTAAAGCTTTAGGCTTTTGCTTTTTGTTAGAGGAAAAGTTTTCAAATGTATATATGGGACCTTTTGGGTAAAATTACGATCCATTTTGTACTTCTTATCAAAAGATAAATTGAAACGGATGAACTGTAGAGAAATTAGTCAATGCCGCCAAGTTATATGGAACAATTATCATTGTTCAGTATTTTGTGCATATACACATTTCAAGAGCTGATTAAGTTAAAGGACTGAAAGTGTCGTTAAAGAGTGATCTCACTGAATGTTTACTGTCCTAAGAAAGTTGGCTTTGTATAGATTTTCTATCGATTGAAATGCTCTCAACAAAGTCGTTGTTTTGACAGAAAGAATGATTTATGACCAATCGATCGCGAGTAAGACTAAACCTATAGATGTGATGTACACAAGTTTCTGAAATAGAAACTGGACACGACAGAAGGATTTCAAAATTTGAGTAGAGCGTTGTGGAATAGATAACAGAGTCTTAATCAAATAAGACGTCACAATTATCCATTGTTCACATGTAACATATTCGAAATTCTTCAGATATCAATAAAAATGCCACCTTGTATTAAATATGTTTTTATACACTATAAATCAACATATGATCTCCTATCACCTAACAGTTATAGATGATCTGATAAGAACAAAACAATTATTAACTCCCGAACTCTGAAGAAAATACTGCAATTTAGAGAAAAACTTTTTTCTATGACGGTGTAGCCAATGTTTCTCAATCGTATGACGGTCCATGTTCAGATTTTATCCAGCTACTCCTCACAATTTCAATTCGACAGATCTAGGAGGGAACAAAAGGAGGAATATTTTGGGTTTGTACTCATAACTTTTTAGGTTTTATGAGTCATAGATTTAGATACCGATGTGGCATATGATTGGGCATGTGAGACCTCTCTTCGTTCTTTTCGACCAATCCTAAACTCACGCTCCCACCCTTTTATTTATCGATTAGAGTCCTGATTGATGTAACCAGCAAACATATTT